ATTTCAAATGGCCTTGAGATGCAACGGGAGTAAGTAAAAAGGTGAGAATTTTTGTCTAATATTTTGATAGTTTCGTCATTAAAACTAATCAGCCTACACTAGTAACTTCATCAAAAATTGAAAATTTGAACTATGAATGTCTGTGAAGCAAGAACACTACCTAAATGTTTTTTTTGTTTTTTTTACAAATACAAATAAACAATACATGGTAACACTTCTTATCATCAAGACTTTCTGGTCCTGAGTGTATCTGCATGATATCAGGTCTTCCCCATTCAAAACTAACTGTACCAAGTAAAGAACTTACAATCATACATATATAAGCTTGCAATGCTGATCTAAAAATAGTAAGCATGTCACTTCACTAAACAAAGCAAGTTGGATTCTTTCATCACTAGCTATGAAAACGAGGTCTGGAAGTGATGGCTTATCAGAACAAAATAAAAAAAAGGTGATAAATTGTTACTCAATCCACATTGCCCTTCCAAATCTTGCCTTGTAATCTAAACTGAAATCAAATAAAGTATTGTTATGACTCAATTAGGGAATCCAGTTGGTAGTCAAACACCACTGTGAACTTCATGATCTCTTAAATGTGTAACAACTCCAATAACCATTTTAAAACTTAGAGCAGAACTTCTGCAAACTTAAAAGAGATATGGTAATTCTTAAGATTTTGAAATAATGGAATAAGATATCCAATCAGGTAATAAAAATACCAAGACTAAAATAAAAAGACTAATGTACATGTGAATCAGAATTAGGCAAACAAAAGTCTTCTACTAAAAACAACAGACAAAGAGGTAATGGTGCAAGGGAATGTCAAACAATGGAGAAATAATGAGAACGTAAACCACATGAACTATAAAAATAGATTATGCATTATTAATGATTCCTAGTTGGCCTAAGCATTACAATTTTTCCTATAACAATGTGTGAGAATGGTTAAAATCCAATTCTTTATTAAATAAAGGTTTGCAAATCATAAGCTGCTTTTTTTTTTACTCACAGTGACCTTGTAAGTGCATTAAACACTTTTGAGGTAATCTTTCAAGTCAGGACATTAAGCAATGCTGCGGCTCCCATGCTTCCCATTCCAACAAAGACAACAAGTCTCTATAATGTATACCAAAGTACCAGGGAGATCTATTGGTCTGTGCCAAAGTCTGCAGCATGTAGGTCATGAAATCATCCAATGTGAAGCTAAACAGAAATTGATAAACAATATTGGGGTAGCCTTTACTTCCTGCAAACTATTACTTTTGCTTATATCAGTGAGGTTGTATTCCATTTCCACAAAGACCATAACCTAGTTTTATAGTGTCTCCACATGGCTCTCATATTTACTATCTTTATCATAGCAAATTCTTAATCCCACCTTTTATACAAGCCAGAAATAAATATCCTATAGATCAATAAAAAAGTGGAAAGACATTCCCTATTACAGTATGTGTCTTTTATTGCTTTATCTTCTACTTTATATCACTAGTTCCAAATCATGTATCCTTCCTCAGTTAAATACTGAATTAAAAAACATCAAAACACCAGGCTGTGAGGATATACTTTCCCTGCATGTAACAGGAATTAAATTCCATTTGTGCAGTCTTTACAGTGTGTGATACTTGTCCATCTTTCAAGAAGTTCATCTATCTCTTTGTCATTCTAAATTACTACTTTATGTAGCTACTATAAAATTAAATTTCTCCATATAGGTCTCCTACACAATATGACAATATATAGCATTCCAGTTTGTGACTGTGCACCAAATTTCTCTGAATTCCTTTATCTAAGATAAAACACAAGGTGCCTAAAGCACTGCACTGGCCCAACAAATGACTCATGGAAGCAAGCAGCTATTAGTGTATTAGTAGTATTACCTTAGTGGTCTCTGTCATTGTTTACCATCCACTGCATCCTCATGGCCTAAACTTACAGAATCCTACTTTGAAAGGTTTTAGTATGTATGGCATACAACTTTCCTAGCACCCCTTGACAAACTCAGTATAAATCACTTCCCTTTCTTGATACCTGTCATCAGAACAAAACCTCAGCCAGTTTGTACATTATAACACGAATCCTGAACACACACTAATTATGGAGGTCAAGTCTTTATTAATCTAAATCAAATTTGCACAATTCCTTTACTATGTTCCAAATAACTATTTGGTAATCAACTTCATTATCTTATTACTCCTCATGCCAATTAAACTTTAACAACCAGAATACATAACGATTCTAAATGTAAAATACATATCACAACCATCAAACATAAATCATCTTGAAAAAATAAAAAATCAAGTGCTATTCATTAAGAAACTTCATATATATTTTTAAAAATATACATAACAGAATATAACAAGTATAATTTAAGAAACTTTCATGAAAAGAAACCTAAATTAAGCAATATTATAAAACACTTACAAGGGGGAAAAAAAAAGAAAAAAAAAGAGAAAAAAGAATCCAAACATAAAATCTCTCCACCAACAAGAAGTGACGCGGC